GTATCAAAGGGAAGAAGCTAAGATTCAGGCTTGGGTGAATCTTCAGAGTGCAAAAGCAGAAGCTGAATCAAGAAAGCTTGAGGTAATCAATAATGTTATTATTCAATATATTTTTTTTTTTTGCATTATTATTTTATGTAGTGTTCTCTATGTGTTTATTACTTAACATGAACCACAAATTTGATTGTGAGTGAAAAGGAATTTGTTTGTAGGTAAAAGTTTATGACTTGAATTTGGTTCATTTGAGTTCTGTTTGACAGGATTTTACCTTGTGTTCTAAAAAAGATTCTTTGATACTGGTAAGGTTTAGTCAAATTTTGTGGATTTTTGGGTTAGCGCAGTTACCGATAAGATGTTAAATGGTTAGAGCATCTACAATGCTTTGGGTTCAATCCTAAAAAATTACATGCCACATAAGAAATAGACCCAGTCCAAAAAAATATATTCTCCAATGCAAATAAAAGTAGATTGGGTCTTGCTGATGTGGCAGCTAAAAAAAGAGACCCGGTCTCCCTTTAGAGCATCCACAATGCTTTGGGTCTCTTGACAAAAAATCACATGCCATGTAAGAAATAGACCTAGTCTATAAAAAAATGCTTCCCAATGCAATTAAAAGTGGACATGGTCTAGCTTATGTGGCAATAAAAAAAAGAGACTAAGTCCACACTTGGGTCTATTTTGGACCCAAGTACAAACCCAAATACTAATCATTTATTCTTACTTTAATTTTTCTTTTAATAAAAAAAACATATTAGATCATTTTTATTGGTTGACATATATGCTAGACCTAGTATTTTTATTTTTGCATTGCAAAGTTATTGAAGTTTTTTACTTGGGTTTGTCCACATCATTTAAGACTCAAGTCCAATTATATGCCACATATACAAAAAGAGACCCAAAACATTGTGGGTGCTCTTAAATCCATTTTAGACCCAAGTAGAGACCTAGTCTCTTTGCATTGGAGTGAATTTTATTAATTTTACATAATTTTATCCACGTTATCTAAGACTTGAGTTTATTTACTTGCCACATAGGCAAGACTAGACCCAATGCATTGAAGATGCTCTTAGAATAGGATTTTTTCTTGAGCAATTTGGATCTTTTTAAGTTTTAACTGTAGAACTCAGAATTTTTTTTACATGTTTGAGGCACATTTTAAGGGCACCAACTATACATGTGCACCCATTTGCATGAACCATTGTTTTGCAAGTTTCTTTTTATTTAACAAATATGATGAATACTTTCAAATTAAAATGTCATGCTCTAAATAAAATAAACAAAGTATCACATTTCATAGTATAGATATGCATTTTCCTTTAGAAAATACAATGTGTCGATGCACCTAAAGATTAGCTTTCTCACTCAAGAATTTGTGCATATTTATCATATCCCAAGTCTTCTTCTAGCATAGTAAGCTTTGGAAAATTTGCATTGGAAATCAAGACTTCATAATTTTTTTTACATACTAACAAAGAAAAAAAAGTACTAATTTGGAATTTGGCAGAAGAATGGCACACAGATTGAAGCAAATTTAAATATGTAAAATAATTCATTTTCTGGATTTTATTCATTTTTTCCTTTTACCCCAAAAATCTTGTTGAAAAATCAGGGGAAAATAACATATGCCTGAAAAAGCTTAATTGCTTTTACAGTTTTACACGATCTCAGGTAGTAAATAGTTTGAATTTGACCATATAATATGCACGATTTTAACGAAAATTCTTTTAGTTATTTAAATTAATTTCATTCACATTGACTCATTGAGCCACCCGCCAAGCAAGAACACGCTTTCAACACCCGTGCAAAAAATAATTCCTTTTGCACATATTTTAATACAAAAATTAAATTATTAATAAATAATTACTATGATGATCACTATTCTCACAATAGATTTTAGAAGATGCAAGAAGAAAAGATGCTGTTTTACATAATCATGGTAATTTAGTGTATAATATTTCCATGCAAAGACAATTTAACTTTGGAAATTTCAAACTCATGCATGTGCAATTCCAATTGTATCTACAGAATTCAAGACAAAAAAACAAAAGACAATGTGGGCTTTTTACCAAAATTCAAGACCTTGTAAAACATCAACAAATTATTTAATGGATAACATATTTATATTTATTGTATAATATTCTAAATGTTTTATAGGGATCATGCATTTTCCTACATTTTATTTTACCAAATAATTATCTTTCCCAGTAGATTTTACCCTACACACAACTGAAGTGCAGTCATCGAGNATGCTCCTAATTACTAATAAGTGTACAATATGTCAAATATCAATTCAATTTTTTTTTTTTAGGTTAAAATACAGAAAATGAGGGCAAATATGGAAGAGAAATTGATGAAGAGGATGGCCGACGTGCATCGGAAGGCCGAGGAGTGGAGGGCAAATGCTCGGTTTCAGCACTCGGAACAAATTCGAAAAGCCGGCCAGCAGGCGCGCGAGCAGGCCATAAATAAAAAAGGCAATAACAATAATAATTTGCATTTATCAGGTCTCAAATCATGTGGATTTTTTCCATGCAATAAATGAAGAAAAATGTAGTCATTAATTTATGAACTGAGAAATGTAAGTTGAAAGTAGGTTAGGAAAGGGAATGTCTTGGAGCTGAGGTTCATATTATGTAGTTGAAAATTGAATTGAAAGGACAAAATCAAGGGTATTTTTAAGCTGTTTCATTTTATTTATAATTATTTGATTGTCTAAAAATTTTTATTTTATTTTATTATCATATATAGTTGGTATAAGGTAGGAGGTTCATTTAATCATATAATTTATAATCTTTCACTTGACAGTTGAATTAGTTAGGAACAAATGTATTTTGATTAAAAATAAGATACTGGAAATTATTACAGAACCTTTTTGTTTTTTTGGTAGTTATAATAAACATCAAGGGTGGTTTTCTAAAATATTATCCCTTCAATGAATATTTCAAGAATCTTTAAGGGAATATGAGGGAAATTAATTGAGCTAAACATGGATTAGTACATAGGGAATTATACAATTTCATTACGGAACCATTTCAGTCGGATTTTTTTACCGTAGATTATCTATCCTACACAAATTTACATTATATATAACGGAACCATTCAGTCGGGGTTTTTAACGTACATTATCTATCCTACACTAATTTACATTGTATCTAACTATGGCAAAAAGTCAAACTGTCAAAAGGTTATATAATTTTTTTCTTCTAGAGATTTATATGTATAATTTCAAAAAATAATATAAATAAAATTTATGATATTTATAGAATATAGAGAGAGAGAGACATAACTCAATAATTAAAACAGTAAAGCATTTTCAGATATTTATGGTTTATTATTGCATTTATTTCAAGGTGGGGTTACTATTGTTCATGTACATAGATAACTTAACTTTCAGAGTTCAATGTATTAGCAATCAAATTCTGGAGTTCAGAGTTCTGATGTTAAAGCTGCAGCTATTGCATTGAGTCTTAATTACTGCCTTTTATTGCTAAGAAATGGACAAAATTGAAGTTTTAATTAAATTACTAAATTTACATACAAGAAAATAACCCATTCATATTATACAAACTAGTATTCTTGTAACCCATTCATATTATACAAACTAGTACGAATCTCGTGCGATGCACGAGTAAGAAATATACATTAGTATCTATAAACTAAAAATGCTAATTAAATATGACGGGAAGGGACCGAAACGTACATACAAAGATAGCGCTAGTTGGAAGATAGGCAGGCTCCACGCGTATTTATAAATTAAAAATATGGAATCAATATGTAATACAATTTATCTAATTAATTTGTTGAAAATAGTAAATGAAATTTAAATTGTGGAAAATTACATAAAAATATCTATTAAAAATTAGTACACGACCCGTACGGTGCAAGTAATTAATAATAAATTATATTATATTCATTTCAAATTAGGTATCATTTTAAAATTTTTATTCAAAAATTTTGATTTGACAACAATGCGATTTGGTATGGGTTGATTGATTCTTCTAGTAGGATTGAGTATCTCAATTTTCTTCTTGTATGGTTGTTAAGTTGTGTGAATGATATTGTTGTTTCATTCTGAAATTAGCTACTTACGGATTCTGATGTGTACTAATTCCATTAATTTAAATAGATTGGTCGATTTACATAAATATATATACTAAATAATTTGATATGTTCCACACACATTTACAAATAAGTATCGATCATAGTATTTCCCACATTCTTTTTTCATTAATATAGAGAAAATGCTTATAGCAATATGAAAAACAAAATATTGAGATACCATTTTTTACTATAAGCGGGTATATTAGATCAATAGATAGTATACCAAATAACTCGATTTCATAAGTTATCAATAAAATACAAAATATGATATTCAATTTTATCACGAAATTAATTACCCGCGTACAACATAAAATCGAGACCCAAGTGTTTTGTAGATAAAAATAAAAAGACTAAAAAACAGTTATTAAAAAATAATTAAATAGAAACTTCCAATGACACAATTATTTTAGAATAAATTTATAAAAAATTAAAATTTAATAAATCAAACAAATTTACACGATCTGCGTAATTAAGGTATCTTAAAAATGTAAATTTTTATGGTCTAATTATTTCCTTAATTATCCACAATTTGAGTATTTAAATACAAAAAAATGAATAACATTTATTAAATAATATTTAAATTAAAATTTTCATTAACACGATTTTTTTAAAATAGTTATTTGCAAATCGTATAATTGATTATTGTTATCAATGTTTCCGTAATTGTAGTAATTATTTGCAGGTTGAATAAATCAGTCAGATTTACAAAATTTGCATAATTAAAGTATATTAAAATTGCGCGTCACAAAAGAATTACATGAAAAATATAAGACAATTATTAAATTAGAAATTACACAATTTGGTTGAAAATTTCTTACCAAATCATATAATTGATATTGGAGCCAAAATTTCCATATTTGGATAAATCATCCAAATTCACATGATTTGAGTAATTAAGTTATCTTAATAATATTTTTTTATGGATTAATTGCTTCCTCAAACCGCAATTTCTATATGTGATTATTTAAAATATACCATAAATTGTTAAATTAATTTTTTGAAATAACAAATAATTTTTTTTGGAGGGAAATAATTACTATTTAAAAAATAATCAAACCTTTATATATATATATATAGATTATTGTGTGGGGACACAATCTTAGATGAGTTACTTATTTTGAAAAAATACATACTTATACAATGAAATATTATATTTTTGTATCTATAGTTTTTCATTTCAATTTAAAATTATGTATATCTATGGAAAAAATGTGACTATACAAACGTCAGATTTTCATTACAGTTTTATTTTTATAGTTTTTCATTTCAATTTAAAATTAAGTATATTTATTGAGAAAAGTGTAACTGTCGAACCTTTAGTTGTTATCTTTAACTTATGAAGATCAAATCACAAATATTTGCATTTTACATTTGCAATAATAGAGAGAGAGAGAGAGAGAGAGAGTATAGAACAACTGATATAGAATACTGAATACAGATGCTCTTACGGACTGAACCAGTCAAGCTATAGTCAAGACCGATCCGGCATTATACTAAACCGGGATCGATCCTACGCAAGTAAGCAGGCTCGATCAACAACCTTAAGGAATATTTTCTATTCCAAACTATAGCTATGCACTTTTTTTTCTTTTTTTCAGTAATTAAGCTTATAATATAAACAATACATGAATATTTGTAAAGTTCGCTAGTTAATCTCAATACAAAGGAAACAATCTGTCTCGTGTCCATTTCACTGTTGGATTTCAGTCGTACGAATCAATCGCACACGCAGCGGAATTTTAAAATTTTCTTACCAACAATGAAGATCCGGCTATAGCTATTCGATTTGATCATAGATCTGCGAGAACTTACAGTTTAAGCTTTACCTTCAACTATGGTATCCACGCAACCCAGATCCCGGTGCACGATCCAACGCAGTGAATCCTTTCCGGTGAAGACGCTAGGAATCCTCAGTCAGAAAGCAAAGAGAGTTTTTGTATTTTTACGTATCTCAATTATCTGATTTCACTATCTGATATGAGATAACCGCCTATTTATAATTAGGCTAAACCTAATTATATGGGCTTTAGGATAATCTATAGCACAAAAGACAATTGGACCTAATTCAATTAATGATATAATTAAGTCTAAGTCCAATTAAACTTAATTATATATTTTCTATCGAATAGAAAATAATCTCATTACTAAAATTAAATATTCCAATCTAATTGAATACTTAACACTCTTGATTCACTCTTAGACGGAAAATGGATTGCATATTGTGTGACCCTATAGGCCTTCGTATATTGACATAAATCTAATTTATGATCCTTACGAAACTCCTAGACTGCGTCGAAGGACGAACTCAAAATATGAAGTACGTTTACATAAACAAAGCAAACAAACCTTTGGTGTAGAATTCAATAGTGATACGGTCCCTTCATTCACGACCCACTCGATTAATCATTTTATCTCATCTCACTAGTTGATTTCAATTAATTATATTTGAACACCATTTCAAATATAATCACGTGCATTGATCAATGACTTTATCAACCCAGTATAGAGAAAACGAGTGTTCTCTTGAAACTATATTCAAGGAATGTATCCTATCTTGGCTCAACTACCAATCCCATATATATTGTGAACTACCCAACACAAGCCCGTATCTACCCATAAGGGCGTAAGCTTTGGACTCGGTCTAAGTAAATCACTCTATACATGAATTGCTTATTGACCTCAAGTCAAAGGACTATTACACCATTCCACACATCGATACTCCCATAGACACATAAACAAATGGTTTATCCGTAGGGTATACCAATACTCTTCAAAGTATCCATGTGTCCATCACGAATAACAATTATTCATAGTAGTGACACATACTATATTCTCAAAGAATGTGATGCAGACCACATGTCAATCTATCACGTATCATTAATATCCTTTTTCTTAATGATGATCGATTGATGTAATTTAAGAGTTATACTCTATAAATTAACATCTCACTCTGTTAATGACAGTATTAGCTCAAGGGAGCCATTAATTAATAAATTACAGACAATCAAAAGAATTCATCAATTAATGCAAAACCATGAATATCATCAAATATAATATGAATATGATCAAGTACATTTGTCCCAAATTGATTGTCTCTAAGACACATATACTAACATTCACCACGAAATAATCTTTAAAATTTCACTAATATGTACAAATTACCAAACCAATAAAGTATACTCAGAAATTTTCTGTTTCAATACTTAAAGTACAGTTGTAATCTTGATTTTAACCTCGCACGAAAACCACTTTTTCAGGTGCACATGAATTCACAAACCCATTTTTTCAAAAAATAATAATAATAAAATAAAAAAAATAAAAAATTACTAGTAATTTCAATATTGAGGTAGAAAAATTCGACTCTATTCTTGTGAGTAGCCGTTCAATTACACGCACACAAATATACTAAACAACCGTCCAATTGCACGTACGCACGAACATATCTATGCAAATGTGTGTCGATCTAATTTTTGAAATCCTACTTGCAACTAAAGGTTATTGACCAAAAAATATATCCAATTCCAATATATTTATATACTCACAATCAACATTATAACATGTTTATAGCCAATAATCTTGACCAGTCCCCAGATTCTGAAACTGCAAGTTTTCCAATTTGGTCTTATTGGGACCCTATCACATAAACAAGATGGGTAAATATTAAAAATTATAAAATGCTTTTCTCATTTTTTTTTTTATTTTTTTTTGAAGTAAAAAATAAAAGAGAAACACACACACAAAATGTCACAGACAAACAGACAAACAAGCTATGGATGTACGTAGTGTTCCGTATGCAGAACAGTGTATAGGTAGATTTACAGATAATAGATTTATTGTTTGAATAGTTTAGCCAAAAGGGACTGCAAAAGGTCAGGGGGGAAAAGTACTGTTCTTCCGTATGCAGATTGTAAAGCTTACAAACATAAGTTGCAGTTGTCATAAGAACACATTTGTGATGAGTTTCTTT